CCTCCAGTGATTACTGCCAAACTGGATGGGATGGGCGGTTAGACTGTGAAACGATCCACAGTCATGATAATACTTTCCATGCCCGCCCTTCCCAATTCCCTGCATCACAAATCCCTTCTTACCACTGGATTTCTTCTCCTGACACATTAGCTTTGCTGAAAAGAGCAAAGGTTTTGTCATTGTTACCAAGTAGTTTCAATCATTTCAAAGCCCTTGTGTTAGTCAGCTTGGGGCGCCATACCAGATACCACAGACTGTGTGGCGCACGCAATGGACATTTATTTCTCACAGTTCTGGAGGCTGGAAGAGCAAGATGAAGGGTCCTGGTGAGAGCTGTCTTCCTGGCTTGCAGATGGCTGCCTTCTCGCCGTGTCCTCACGTGGCAGAGAGGGAGAAAGCTGTCTGGTGTCTCTTCTTACAAGGGCACCAATCCCAGCATGAGGACAACACCCTCATGATGTCACCTAAATCTAATTACCTCTCAAGGGTTCCATCTCCAAACACCACCACAATGGACATGAGGGCCTCAACATATGAATTTAGGGGAGACACAATTCAGTCCACAGCAATCCTTTGCTGTGGTTCTAGCTAATTTGAAAAGATCAAGTAAATTGCTTTACTCCAACATTTTCTTTTTTCCTTTTTTTTAAAAAAAATTTTTTATTGATTTCAGAGAGGAATGGAGAGGGAGAGAGAGATAGAAACATCAATGATGAGAGAGAGTCATTGATTGGCTGTCTCCTGCATGCCCCACACTGGGGATCGAGCCTGCAACCCGGGCATGTGCCCTGAACAGAAATCAAACCGTGACCTCCTAGTTCATAGGTCGATGCTCAACCACTGAGCCATGCTGGCTGGGCTACTCCAACATTTTCTTATGAAAAAACTTAAAATATATAGAAAGAGTGAAGGAATACAGTGAACACCCATCCACCAAAATGTAACACTTGTTAGCATCTTGATATATTTGTTTTATTACTTTACACACACACACACACACACACGCATTTGGACAACCACTTGAAAATAGTTTGCAGACGTTATATGTATTGTATCTAGCTATTTCAGCATATGTATCGTAAGAGTAAGGACACTACCCTATATCACCACAATGCCATTTTTATATCTCAGAGTTAACAATAAAGCCATGAGATCATCTGTGGTGGTTTCAAGCCCACAAGTTTTTTGTCCTCCTCCCCTGAGATGTGGAATTTAATTCCTCTCCCCTTGTGTGTGGGCTGGACTAAGTGACTCACTTCCAGTGACTATAATATGTCAGAAGTGATAGGATGTCACTTCTGAGTTGGTTTATAAAAAGACTGACTTCAATCTTAGATGCACTCTTTTCATCTCTCTTGAGTCATTGCTTTGATGGGAGCCAACTGCCATGTGGTGAGGCCCCTCAGCCAGCCTGTGGTAAGGCCCGTGTGGCCAGCAAGTGAGGCCTGTCGGCTACCATGTGAGTGAGCGTGGAGGTGAATCTCCTTCAGCAGAGTCTTGAGATGACTGTCACCCTGATCAACAACTTGACTGTAACCCATGAGAAGCCTTCAGTCAGAAACACCAAGCTGAGTCATGCCCGCATTCCTGACCCCTGGGGACTGTGAGATGATAGACATTTGTTGTATTTAGCCCTAAGTTTGGGGTCATTTGTTACGCAACAATAACCAATAATCATCTAATATTCTACATTCAGCTGTCATCACTCTATAAGAATGTCTTTTATAGCTGTTTTCGTCCCCACATTTGGATCCAGTCTAGGTTTACTCATTGCATTTGTTGGTTATTTTTAGCCTTTTATAGTTTTTTTTTTAAATAGCATTGACTTTTTGGGGAGAAGTGCTCTGACTGTATCTTCATGATATTGTTTAACTTGTTTTTCTATACCCTATACACTTAAAGTGGTAGCTAGAGCCTGGATTGGATGCAGAGTAAACCTTTTTGGCAAGACCATTTCAGTGGTAAAGTTGTATGCTTAATATTGCATCACGTTGGGGGCAAATGATTTAGAACGTTCCATTGTTGCTGACGCTAAGTTTATTGCCCATCTCTTTAGTGTAAAGGTATGCTTTTACATAAGGTATCTGCGGGGTGATAATTGGCAGGTGAATTCTGTTCCCATTGACTTTAGCATCCATCGATTCTTGCTTGGATTACACCAAGGGTGGTGGCAAAGTGGTAATATTCTTATTTTACCATTCTACTTATTAGCTGGCATTCTTCTGTATAGAAAAGCTTTTAAATTGTTTTCTTTCCGTTTCTTTTCAATTCTATGGGCACATGGATTTTTACTTATTTACTGTGTTGAAATCGATTCTTTTTTTTGTGTGTGTGCTCAAAATCTATCACATTTGGCCAGCAGGAGCCCCACGAAGATGGTCTCTGTAGCTTGTAACCTGACTCCTGTCGTCTCTCATCGCTTCCTTGCTTTCTGACAGAAGCTGCCTTAGGTCACCTGCAGTTTTCAGGCTACAGAACTGAAATGAGCCTGTTCGCTAAGGACCTTTGTTTCCTTTTGCTGGTGAACGGTGCTTAGAAACAAGATTTAGGCTTTGTAGGCTCGCTGCTGGTGGGGGTGTTATTGCTTTCCGTGGACAGATCTAGAAATACATTTTTAGTAATAAATGTATAGTGGTATTTAATTTATTTTTTTAAAAGAAATTTATCTGGGTGACATTGGTTAATAAAATTATATAGGTATACAGTTCTATGATGACATCATTTGTATATTGCATTGTGAGCCCACCACCCAAAGTCAGATCTTATTCTGTCACTATATATTTGACCCCGTTACCTTTTACTAACCTCCCACCCCTCTTCTCTCTGGTAACCACATACTGTTATCTGTGTCTATCACTCTACATGAAGTAAGTCAGACAGAAAAAGTCAAGAACCATAAGATTTCACTCATGTGGGATATAAAACTGAAAGCAACAAATGAACAAACAAGAAAAACAAACAAAAACTCATAGTCTTATTAAACATTTTATTTTATTTTGACAATATTACCTGGTATCCTATATAATAAAGAGCTAATATGCTAATTAGACCAAATAGCAGAATGACCTTCCGGACCAAGCCGGGCCTGCAAGGGCTGAGCCCCTTGCACGAATTTCGTGCATTGGGCCTCTAGTTTTTAATAAAAAGCAATATTCTAGTGTTTTCTTAATATCCTTTTATTTTATATCTTTTGGATCCCAACAATATTTACTCATTTGCTCTGTCTTATGATATACATAAAATTATTTCAGAATAACACTCTTAATGTTTTACTTGTGAGTAAACCTTCTGAGTGAGGTTTAAGGCTCTCAGACATTTTACATGAATACTATTAGAATCATTAGTATGGTCACCATTTATCAAACACATACCATTAACACAGTCATTGTACTAAGTACTCAAAGAGGTTATGTACTTGGCTCAAGTTCACACAGCAATTAAGTAGCAAAGCTGGGATTTTCACTCTGTCATTAAGTTATTATGCTGTCATCAATAATTCCCTTTACTTGTATATTCACAGCTACATTCTACCTACAAGTCTGAGGCCAAAAATTATTTGTTAGTGGAACAACAACCTGTAGCTATGTAAATTTCCTCAGTGAATGAATAACTTTAATCAATTATAAATAGTAGTTATTGAATTATCAGGATTGAAAATTAGGAATTTAATATTTATCTATAAAAATGCATTTCTGAAGATTAGTAGTAGGAAATGAAAATGTGTTAAAAGAGCACATTACAAAAACCAGAACTCATTCCTTTTCTTACATAAGTGTCTTTACTTGTAAACGACTGATGCAATGTTGTTCAGACTTTGGAAACACATTCACTTTGGGATGAAGTTCCTGCCAACATAATAAAAATTGTAAAAAAAATGTGGGCAATAAAAAATTTGTGGTCTTTAATAAAGTCCTCATTCATAGGGTTACGACTCCAAAGATTTATTACTGAAAAATACTGTCAAGCGGTTTTCCTGACACATTGCTGGTCTCAGGAAGAGTCTTCATAATGCTTTCTAAAGCTCTGTTTTTGAGGTAGGAAACTTACTTTATTAGTGAAGTCCAGAAAGACTGCGGAGGTACAAGTATCCGCGGGGCCCGAGGCTGCTTCCACCAAACTCAGCTTTTCTGGTTTTCTTAACGACTCTATTCAAGTTACTTTATGAAAATTTCCCCAATAGAAATCCAGGTGGTTCATTACATGTATGGAAATATATCTTATTTAAAATCTTTAGTAGTGGACATTGAAGTATGTTTTAAAAACTGTCAAAGATTGGCACCTTTTCTCTTGGTTATCGTGAAATCATCCAACGTTGAGAGAAGTAGTCACTTTATCCACACAAGCCACACACACATTCCCTACAGACATCAGAAGTTCAAATGAGTAGATCAGAAATTAAACGTACTTATTGGATTTCAAATGGTTTCTTTTTCCTCCACACTGTCCACATTTCCTTCAGTTCTCATAGTTAGAACTGACGCTAGGAAAGAATACTGGTTTTGGAGTCAGGCAGACTCCGGGGGATGTCTCCTCTGCTTTCTTGGTTTGTCAGCCAGCCGTACTGTTATGTAAGAAGGAAGACATACAGGAGTCATGGAGAGCAGAGTGGTGTACAGGCTCTTGGGTTTTTATCCGGGCTCTAGCATCATTTGGCTCTATGATCGCAGGCATCTGACTTTACCTCTTTGAATCTCAGTTTCTTGTCTGTCAAATAGGAACAGTATTTAAGGATTTGTCTCTTACAATTATTCTTAGGATTGAATGATATACATAAAGTCCTGAGGACATGCACAGTACATGATTGATGCTCAGTGTTTGATTTTCCTTTCCCATTTATTTTTTTTATCCAGAGATTAAAATACAGGCATATGGAAATAGTTTCTGGAAGTGAGAAATTGCTGGACAGGATAAATTACTAAGGAAACTAAAGATCTCTACAGTCATAGAATCATAATGTCGAAAGTGACCTCAAGGTCATCTATCTATCTACCTAGTATTGATTAAATATAAAACACTTCATGAATTTGCATGTCGTCCTTGTGCAGGGGTCACATTAATCTTCTCTCTGTCGTTCCAATTTTAGTATATGTGCTGCTGAAGGTCTTTTAAGTCCAGGTCATCTAACTGTATGTAAAATAAGTACCATCTTTAAAATGTCCCTGTCCAGCTAGTGTCCAGCCTTTCCTTGAACTCCACCAGAGGCGGGGAATTCACCTCCTCTGTGCAATCCTAATGGTTTGGCAGTTCTTCATTGTAGCAAGTCAGGCTCAGAAGCCCTATACTAGTAATTCATGTTCACATCCTGGTTCTTTCTTAGTGAAATGTCACAGAATAAATGGGAATCCCCTCTCTTATGATTACCCTTCAAGTATTCGAAGACATTTATCATGGATTTCTAAGGCTCTCCTTCAGGCAAAACAGCCCAGATCTTTCAAACTTTCCTTGCTTGAATCTTCTTTCTTATCATCTGTGAGGTTGGAGAATCCTAGCCTCTGGGAAAGGAATTAAAATGAAAATAACACTAAAATAATAATCTGCTCATGTAATCACAACTAAACATGTTGATAAGATTCCAAAGTAAAATTTCAAGTCCTCTCTTCTTCCACTTCTATCTAGCCTCAGTCTTACACTCTTTTTTTTAAACTTCTGATAATTGCTATTAAGACGTTAAAGTAATACATTTCTGTTCTTGATTCAACAATGTGAGATAGTATCTTTAGATTTTCTGATATAGAATATGAGGAACTTAATGACTCTTACTTTTTACTCCCTTATTTCTACTTTCCATTTAAAAAATATTATGGTATATACATTGTCAAGGTTTGTAATTCATTTCTGCTCTGTAACTATAAGTCTCCATTCCTTTGCCTTGAAGTTCTGTTCATACATTTAAAATAAATTAAAACAGCATTTAAATAACAGAACTACCTAAATATTTTTATTATGGGTTTAATCTTAGCATATGATGCTGAATCCATTCCATTTGGATGATGTCCCTCTTCGCATTTCCAGCTGGGAACTGTCCATGGTCCTCGGGGCACAGTCTGACCAGGTTAGGGCAGTGTTGACTGCAGGGAAGCCCGGGACATACTGGCTTCATGGGCAGCTACATTCATTGTCAACTTGTATTGATTTTGTCAGTGATGAGAATTTAAAACTTGAGCTGAATTTTCAGTATTTCCCAAGGTTTGTGATAGCTCAGATTTGGGAAAGGTCTTCCTCATTTCGAAGTGAGATGTTACTATGCAGTGTGCACGCCATTAGATCGTGAGCCCACGCAGAACAGACCTCATTCTCCTTTTTACCTTCAATTGGGTGAAGACATCTACAGGACAAATGTCCCGGTTCTCTTCCCATTTCCTCTTTTGTTGTTAATCTTCACCTGGGGAAATTTTTCCATTGATTTTTAGAGAGTGGAAGGGAGGGGGAGAGGCACACAGAGAGAAACATTGATGTGAGAGAGAGACATTGATTCGTGGATAGAGCCTGCAACCGAGGTACATGCCCTTGATCAGAATTGAACCTGAGACCTTTCAGTCCTTGGGCTGATGCTCTATCCACTGAACCAAATTGGTGAGGGCTACCATTTCCTCTTAGAACATGGTTTCAAGACTTTCATCCTTCTCCTTTCTGAACTCTGTTCTCTTGTACAGCTTTTCTCAAACTATCTGTGGGAAGGATTAGTTTTCCCTACAGATTTATTTTCAATTTATTGCTAACCAATACTTTTGTAAAAAATATCAATAAAATGAATTCATGGAAAAATTATTTTAAAAGACACAAAAAGCATAAGTTTGCATTTTAAGTATCAGAAGCCACAGACATAAAGTTAATATAAATATAATTTGGATAAATAGAATCAGAATAAACGTGGGGAAAAGAATTACATAAACTGTGCACTTTCTTTTTTGAAAGTGTGTGTGCAGGGTTAATGTGGAAAACACTATTGTACTGACAGCTTTTTGTCATTTCGCAATTGTATCTGAACAAGAAGTTAGGACTAAAATTCTCTGTATTGAAGTCCTGTGTGCTCACTTTGAATGAAAGTTTTATTGTGATAACGAGCTAGCTTCCTGCTTGTTAACCTTTGTCATCTTGGTTGGGTTGATGACAATGCTCCTAGCAGGGGCTAATGTATATTAAACTTTTTCTATGTTTTGCTTTTAAAGCACTTACAGTAGAAAACGAATCTCACAAAGGATTGTTGATACTAGAAGAGGTTTTAAAGCAATTTCATAGAGCTCAAGATTTTTATTTGTAACTTGTCTCCAAAGTAAAGTAAGTGTGTTTTCAAAATCCATCTTCAAGTATTCCTCGGTAGACAGTTTTATCAATTTATTGTATAAAGGTACAGTTAGATTTATCTTTCTATGGAAATTTAAATTCTTTTGATGAAAGAAATGGACTGTGTTTGATATACTTTATACTTTTGGGTAATGGTTGGCAAAAGAACCTTAAACCATCACATGCAACGTGTTCTTATTTGCACAACAGATATGTAGCTCCTGTGTCCGTTCTACAAAACCCGAAGGGTCTATACCTGATTCAAAAATTGATGTCAATGCTCTCATCCACAGAAAATTTCACTAGAATACCTGAAGTAGATAGTGTTATATAAGGTTATTAAATGAGTTGTTATAGTAAACAACAAAAAAAGCCAAACTGCTATAGAAATTACTGCTCTTACCCTTAATTTCTGAAATTATCTTGTGGGGACTGGGGACAGTTGTAGGAGGTACACTAGAGTTTTATTCACAGTTTGAGTAGCATTGTTCTAGGAGGGTTTTACCTCTATTAAAATTTGTATCCCAGAACCAAATGCAAACTTCAGGCTTCGTTTGGTTCAAGGGAAATAGAAACAGGGAAATAGAAATAGAAGGACATCACCTCCCTTATTCTAGATACTTTACTTATGCAGCCTACGTTTAGTGTGTGTGTACATGCATGTGTGTGCATGTGCATGTATGCGTGCATGTGTGTGTGTTCATATCACTATTGACAGAACTTTAATGGGCCCAGATTCCCTGGGTGTTCTCAGAGTTGCCACTGTTCTGTGTCATCTTCCTTCCACTTCTGCCCACTGGCTATAGTTCCCTTCTCTAGAGATGATCAGAACTGGTAGTTGCCTATGCATATATGTGGAGATTCTCTTTTTATTTAGGTACAAATGGTACTAGACACATTGTTAGGCACTTGACTTTTTTCACTAACTATATCTATCTTAGAGAGCCTTTCATATCAGTGTATAAAAAGTTTCCTCCGTTCTTTTTTTTTTTTAAATATATTTTATTGATTTTTTACAGAGAGGAAGGGAGAGAGAGATAGAGAGTTAGAAACATCGATGAGAGAGAAACATCGACCAGCCGCCTCCTGCACACCTCCTACTGGGGATGTGCCCGCAACCCAGGTACATGCCCTTGACCGGAATCGAACCTGGGACCTTTCAGTCCGCAGGCCGACGCTCTATCCACTGAGCCAAACCGGTTTCGGCTCCTCCGTTCTTTTTAAGACTACATAATGTTCGGGGGATGGGTGTCTCCTCTTTAACCAGTCACATGCCACTGAACATTCATGTAGTACCTACTCTTTTGCTACCTATGATTGAATAACTTTGCACATACCTTATTTTCCATATTTAATGATCTCCAGGTATATTTTAAAGACTGGAATTGCAGGGCCACAGGATATGTGCCTATTACATTTTGTTACATATTTTGGTGTAAATACCTAGCGCAGTGATGGCGAACCTATGACATGCGTGTCAGAGGTGACACGCGAACTCATTTTTTGGGTTGATTTTTCTTTGTTAAATGGCATTTAAATATATAAAATAAATATCAAAAATATACATCTTTGTTTTACTATGGTTGCAAATATCAAAAAATTTCTATATGTGACACGGCACCAGAGTTAAATTAGCGTTTTTCAAAATGCTGACATGCCGAGCTCAAAAGGTTCGCCATCACTGACCTAGCATATCTACTCACACTTCTACCAGCAATGTATGAGAGTGCCTGTTTGGGGAGGATTTCTGAGTTTATTTGTCCGCCTTAACTGCAGTAGGTAGAAGCAGCCAACTGGTTTTTCATTTCACAAAATCTGTCTGGGTTTGGATGAATTCAGCCAGAGCCAGAGGTTTGCCACCCGGACATTAGTCATTGTATTTTTTGAGAGGCAGTTTGATCTCACGCATATCCAAATCCATATAATAAATAGCTAGCAACATTATAATAGGAATCAACTGTGTTTTTAAATCACAAACCTTTGGTTTCATTACTCAATGCATTTAATTGGCAATGAATGAAGACATGCATTTAATTAAGAAGTTAAATAGAATGCCTAACTCATATCATTTACAATTGTCTTTGCTAAAAGTATTTGCAAAGGTATCATTATTCATTTGTTGCATTAGTAGGACTGAATCTAAAGATTTGTTAATTAAAGTAAATTTAGTACAGGGACCGCAGTCACTGTCTCTATAGGGCCTGACCTTTTTTGCAGATGTGGTTCCCCGTGGAGGTCAGCCTTGATTTGCGTGTCAGTGTGGTCTGACAGCAGCCTCAGGTCCTGGCCCGCGATACCCATGTCACATTACTTCCGCGTATCCTTGAGGTAGCCACGCAACCAGACTCCACTCTGGCCGCTGCCTCCTGATAGCTCTACAGGTAATTGCATTTGCAGTCTGAGGACATCTGTGCCCAGCAGCTCAGCCCTGTGCCCCTGAAGTGCTTAATCAGAGCGCCGGGAGAGTGGCTGTCCCCAAGGCCTTGTCACTGGCTCCCAGTTCTGCATTTCATACGCGAATTAGCAAATTGTTCACTGGCCTGAAACATGACCAGGAAAGAAATTGGACCCGCTGCCCTGTGCCACGGCATCCCACGATCCCAGATGAATTTTCTGATTTCCACTGGACATGTGTTTGTGCTTTGGATTCACTAGTGGACTGTTTCGGTCCTTGTCGCTAAGGCAGTAAGACCACGGTCTGACATTGAGGTGGAAAAAATCCCTTGGAGCTGTAATATTTTTACTGTGTTTATTGGTCTCTGGTGTAAGCTGCCAATTGGGTAGTTTACTCCAAACTGATAGTAAGTCTATAGTACTCC